TCAAAGCTGTGGATTGCTGTGCGTGTGTACAGGTTATCGAGCGGCTGACGCAAAGGGAGCTTGAAGTACTATACCTGGCAACTGAAGTGTAGCTACCCTGGGTATCTATACCTGGCAAGGCGCGAGCTGAGTAAGAAGGGGGTTTCGTGGGGGTGGCCGAGAAAGCACACTCGAAAGTAGGTGGTGTGTGGGGGTGCACGGAAGCACGCCGTGCGATGCTGCATGCTGTCTTTGGCCAACAACGTGCTCGTGGACAAAAAAACGCCGGCTTTCGTTTTGAAGCTTCTCAGGTTTGAACATCGGGGACATCATGGAGAACTGTCACATTTACATATTGGGAATGTTGTGCGTTGTCCTACCTACCGAAGTACTTATCAATAACAATGCTGTGTTCTAGAGTTGTGGCAGGTTCTGGGTGGAAAATATTTCCGCGAAATCATTGAGTGTGCCAGCAGTCACAAAGGGGTGCTTAATGGAGGTTTGGGGTGCCCATTACCACCCCTTTGTGACTCGTGGTGGATGGTTTGATTCTGTTCTCCAGGACCACTGGGACCACCGAGGCTTGGATGCTTTGGCCAAGGCCTTCCTCACCTCCCTCCAAGCCTCGGCGGCGGCAGAACCGCCCTCGCCACAGGCGGTGGCGAACCTCGCGTGGGCGCCGGGTGGCTCAGAGAAATGCAGACGGTGAAGCCGGTGAGGCTGGAGGAGTTTCCCTATGAATCTCCGTAAACTAAGGAGACCTCCCAGGCATTCCGACCTCCTGGAAGGCTTGAAAATTGGTCCAATTTAATCAACGCAGGGGTTGGCCTATATGAAAATCCACACCCCTTTGGTGAAGCATGGGGGGCCGAGTATTGTCCCAAAATCGTTCCTCCAGACGTTGGATTTCCACCAAAGGTGCATCTTACCAAAAACAACCACCCCCCCGTCTCCAGAACGGCTTTAGCGCACATCCTCAGCCGTCAGGGGGTGATTCATCAACAGATATCAACAGATATGATATCACCATTTTATCGTCTAAATGATCTCATTTAGACGCCCGTTGTTTGGGCATCCCTCCAGGCTGACGACCTTGGGCTACCTTCACCGCCCGCTGCCGGAGCACCCGTTGCGGTGGGTGCTGCGCCGGTGGACTGCACCGGTGGGTCAGCGGGAATGATTAGCTGGGAACGATGGGAGAGAGTGAGAGTTGGAGCATGAAGGATTTTTGGGGGGTCCTGTGAAACGAGGACCGCTTGTTTTTTTTGGGGGCCGAACTTCAAGCGTGAGACGAGGACGGCCAGACATTCATTTGAAGATGACTTGGAGTGGTGTCTTGGGAGGTATATATAGAATTTGGTTTGCCGGTTTACCTCTCTTGGCAGTTCCTGATCCTGATTTCAGTTCTGCTTTGGAGTGGAGAATGCTCGATCCAGGACTCTACTCTACTGTAACTCTCAGGCTCCTGTTGCCCTTGTCAATTGTTGAGCCATCCTACTCTACATCGCCATATTCCGCGTTGGATCCGCTATGGCACATCGTTCTGACGGTCTCGTTGGGACGGGTTGGACGGTCTCGTTTGTGGCTCTTGCGAGGCTGGAGGGGATTGCTGCTCATGTGCTGACCACCCTGGCTCAGTATGCAGGCGCTTTCGGGGTCTCTCTTGGCGAAACCACGGCGACCCACGGCGTGACAAGAGGTGTCGGAACGGTTCCGATGACATGCCGCATCATGACGCTGTAGTGTAGAATCTGTCTTCAAGGATTTGGTCTTTGGTGCGTTTGGTGCTTGGGACTCCGCAAGCATGTGATCTACTGTATCTTGGAATCTTGGAGCAAATCTTGAGCAAGATGCAAGAAGCCGGGGAAATCCTGGGTCACTACCTACATCTATACATAATTCTACATATCATATCCAAGTTCCAGGTCCTCGAATGCCGGGTTGCGTCAGGATTTACCTAACATGGCACCCAGAAAATCAGCTGCGTTTGCCCTGCATTACAGTTCGCAGGTCAAGGGCTGGCGAACTTGGCAACTCGGTGGGAGCTTTGGGAAGTGGGCCATGGACGTCTACCTTTTTTTCCTACTGGATCCCATTTACACGCAAGCTAGCAATATATAAGGAACCAGGGTTTCTAGGCCTATGGCTTTAGTCTTTTGGAACCACTGATAACAGTGGTAACTGGAACCCCCTACCAAAACATGTATACATGCAGTTATAAAATTAGCTACAAATATATTACGTAGTGGAATATAATGTGTGGCGGTGGGTGTGTTTTCGGCCGTGGATCAGTTCTTCATGATTGGGGTCAAGAGCAGGGGTCAGCTTCGCAGCCAGTCACCTAGAAGCGATGCACTCCCCTGCAGAGGGCCACATGGAACTCCAAAACCACGTCGGGTTCTAGAGGACCTTGGTCAATTCTCTGTGACTTCGAGTACGCTTGGAGATCCGACCCAAGGTTTGGTGCTTCTCGGTCCTGAGCTTTCAGAAGCCACCCTTGCTGGTGGCCATGGCTGCACAGGCGATCCGCGGAGATGACGCATGGCGATTCGTCGCGCCACCCGACGGAAATCACTTAGACTTGAACCCATTTCGGACATGACACATTCACCAGTCTTTAGTGGGGAGCTGTGCCAACATCCCATGGTGAGCGTCGAAAAAGGACCCGCAGCGGAACAGTTGAAGCAAGCTCCGATGTTGTGGGAAGCTGCTAGACTTATAGATTGTTTTTGTATTTCATATAATGTTGGATCCTGATTAGTAAAGGGGGGTCCCCCCCCCCCTCAAACAATTAGGGGTTCCTCTATAATAAACTACCACCAAAACAAATCTGGATTCCTGTGAGGATTCCTTTTGTAATTGATTGTAGTATTCAGCTTCCTTTCTCAGGTGCTTCCTTTCCAGCCTCATCTCCTGGTGAGGGATCTTTTGTAATTGATTGTAGTATTCATTATCCTTTTGCTTTGCAGCCTCAGATCTTCAGCTCAAGAGAAGCCCCAAGCTTTCAGCTTCTTCCTCAGCTTCCATGGCTTCCTAAGTAAAGGAAGATCCCATGAGCAATTTTCCAGTGGAAAAAACTTTTCACAATTGAGGACCCAAAAACAAATTTATTATTGAGGATCAGGTGCCTTCCTGGTCTACTACCTTGAAAATT